ACTCCGGTGTCGGGTCCCCAGTCCTCAAGAGTGGGAGTGTATCTGGATCACAGAGCGGGCGTTCTGTCTTTCTACAGCGTCTCTGACAGCATGACCCTGCTGCACCGAGTCCAGACCACATTCACTCAGCCGCTGCACGCCGGAGTTCGGCTTTTAGGATACGGAGCCACCGCTGAGTTAAAAGTTAAAAAAGAGTCATCTTAATTAAAAAGTAGAAATCCTGTTTTAGAAGTTAAAGATATTCAATACTTTTGAATGAACAATTTTGGACTTTATTTAAGTTTATTAAATACATTTTTGATTGTTCTCAACTACCAGAGGCGACTAAAAACTGGAAGTGTGTTAAGTAATGGTAATTACTTTACTTCTTGATTCAATTAAAAAATTACTTAAAAAAGGGAAAAATAAAAAATAAAGAGTGCCTCTTTCTGTTAATGCCTGTATTCTCTCTATGATGCTATCAGTCTAAAAATATTCAGTCCTCCACAGTAGGAGTGCATCTGGATCACAGAGAAGGTCACAAATCAAAACAAGATGTCCTCATCAGATGGCCTGTAAACATTTTAGAAATGCATTTCTTGAATACTTTCAGCATATTTGGAGTTACACTAAAAAGTTTTAAATGATCAATTTAATTGTTGATCTACTTTAGATCTACCAACATCGTTTTTTAAATTTTTTATTCAGTCTAAATCTAAAACAGACTTCTAATAATAGCCCATCTATCAGGGCTTTGAAGTACATCTTCATCTTTCAATGAGGAAAGTGGAATATAAAATGGATGAATTGAGTTTTGCTAAAACACAAATGATCAAATATCTAGTAATCCCCTTGGTTTACATAGTGCGTCATAGTTTAAGGTTACCGTGGGGGCAGGGATGACATCCTTGACTCATCCAGAGATGGAAAAAGCCACTGACTGACGCCTCTCAGCTCTCTGACCTGTACGTAATGTAGGTGTTTCTTGGCATCTTTAAAGCTGCTTGTAAACACAACTGTTTCTACACAGGGCTTTACCGGCTTTAGAGTCGGCCCCCGCACAGAGGCAGGGGGACTTCAGAACTTGTTTCTTTGACTCTCTGGCTGTGATGTCCGCCGCCCCAAAAGGCCACTGCAAACAGTCATCTGCAAGAATGACAGTGCCTTACATTATATTCATTAACCTGAAGTTAACAGAGATCATTTACTCATATCATCATGTACAATTCAGCATCAATATTTCCTTTGTTTTCATCCACATTCATTTGCAATTTTTCTACCCTACCTAAAAATAAAATCTAATTTAAGTCTTCTTAAAAATAAGATTAAAAAACTGATCTATACAAGTTCCCACTGGTCAGTTTACACAATAAACCAACCTGGGTGATTTGGTGACAGCTAAATATGCTTTCACTTGTCCATCAGCCACGTTTTTCTCTGGGCTCTTCCACAAAACCCAGCACTGATCATCATGTGGTGTTCTCGCTCCTTTTCCACAGTTGATTTAACAGAAAAACAAAACAAAGCCATTGACTGAGTTTGAACGGTTTCCTCTCCCGTGCTGGTTTTCTCAAAGTTTATTCTCCAAAGAAATATAGTCAAAGTGTGATTTTTAAAAAGATACCCAGTTTAATTTGGAATTAAAAAGTAAAAATTGGAGTGTCTGGTTACATATCCAAATATCATCGCAAACATCAGTCACACTCAAACTTGTACTCGTGTGTCATCGCTGATGTAATTAAAACAGAGACAAACACTGTTGAATGCTTTTTTCTTTCTTGGGCGTTGAGCCACCAAATTAGTTGTGATGACAGCTGAAGACTAGTCAAATTAAAAAAACTCCATACTTTAAAGTGCAACTCCAGCTTTTTAGTTATTCCTCAGAGAAGAATGAATAAAGGTGAATACCTGTGTGCTGCAGCAATAGACAGAAAATAAAAAAATACTGTAATCCCAGTTAGCATTATTGTGTGAAATGTTTTCTCCCCAAACGAAAGAAAGCTGTGTGAAATGGACTTTTCGAGACAGTTTGAATCTGAACATATTGGACCTCAAAGTGTAAATTAGCTGTATTATGTCAGTATTTTTTCCTTAAAAAGATGGAAAATCAGTCCCGGCTGATGGGATAACTGCACATTTAAAGAGAAAGTTAACTCTCAGTAGATGAGTGTGGCTCATCATCAGGAAACGGCTTTTGTAAGAACCAAGAAGAGTAACAGAGTGAGGGAGCAAGGAAAGGATGTTCCTGCTCATACAGTAACACCAAAACCTGAATGTGTCTCACCTTCGTTTGCCTGCAGGAAACTGAAGGCGAGTAAAGCGGTTAGAAACCTGTTTCAGTTAGTGGAACCGTCTTTGATTAGAAGGTTTACCAAACATGCTAAAGCGTCTCACTGCTCACTTTGTATTAAATGTGTAGTGGTATGACTTTTAACTGTCCTTGTGATCACTTTATGTATGTATATATATATATAAACAAAGAAAAATACAACTATGTTAATCTTTAAGTTTCCATACATCACAATCACCTTTCATTTATGTGTTTATTTCCACTGAGCGGCTTCTTTCATCAGGGTAAAAAAACAGAGGCTGATAAGCTCTCCATGTCTTCAATGAATACGCAGGACTTCTTTCAGATAAAAGATTAAACCTGATTTATGTCAAACCATCTGTTAGAAAACCTTCCTTTAATTACAGGCATGTGCATCTCCCGGTCTCTTAAAGCAAAAGGCATTTTGACATTTTAATGTAAACTACACCAAAAATGTCCCAGTTCTTTCGTTTTGAAAAAAAAAGAAAAAAATTCAGACCAGAACAGAAAAACAAGAACACCCTTTAAACAAGAACACAAACCAAAGCCATTTTCTGTCTGGTTTCAGGTGAAAATAACATCCTGCCTGCAGCTGACCTTCACCTGATCAGCAGCCACCCAGCCTAACGCTCAACAGTACCTTCCATAAAATAGCTCAAGATGTCAGTTATGACTTATAGATGCCTATGTTAAAATAAAAGGTTTCACCTAAAGTTAATTAGTCCTAGCTCTTCTGCTCCAAACAGTCCAAATTCATGATCTCTGGACGAGCCTAAAAAGTATATGAAAAAAAAGAGAGAAAGGTTGTCTGGATGTTGTTTTTACATAATCTGCATCATTTCGAACAAATTGCCTTGAGAATAAGACATAGTATAATTGTGTAGTACGAATTCCAGTCCACTTGCTGTCAGAAGAACATATAATGACAGAAAGTTGAAAAATACAGTCCAAAGAAAAACGAGTCGGCATCTGAAGGAAAAATAACAACACAGAATAGTCTGAAAATTCTTCCAGGTCCAATAAGATCTGATCAAACTTAGTTTAGTCCTTTTTAAAACTGTCGGAGCATAAAAAAACATCAGTTTAAAAAAAGAAAAAGAAAAATATCTTCTAAATGTATGTATTTGTCCCCATGTGTGCAAAGGCACAGGTGAACTCCCTATGATGTGCTTTCAAGTCTGTGTTTCCTCCAACCTCAGGTTTTTACTTTTTCCGCCAGACGTTTTGGGGGTTTCCTCGTCAGAGAAATGAAATGTAGTTTTTGGGCACGATTCCACGTTGCTCTCCCACTGTTCCGAAAATCCACTGCTCATCTACAGACTCCAACTGTGTGATCATGTCACCAACCTGCTCGGGGGGAGACAGAGGCAGGGCAGTTTGTTACAGTCTGATGATGAATTTGACAGAAGAGGCATATACTTTAGTTATATCTTTAGAAACAGATTTTTTTAAGGAAGAAATATCCACTCCTCACACACCTTTAGTGTAAGCTCACCCTCGCTCTCTGCTGTAAAGTCAAACAGAGCCTTAGCTGTTCCTTTAACCACTGGCTGCTGGGCTGTGTCTGAGGGAGCTGGAAACAAGAAGAAGAAGAAGAAGTCTTGGTGGGAACAAAGCAGATAACTTCAGACCCAATTTAGAGAGTATGGGTGTGCTGATTTATTTGTCTGGATCCCCTTTTGCTTTGAAAATGTTGTGTCTTTGTGGTGTACCCTGGCTAGGCTGTGTGAAGGCTGCAGGGAAAAGACCCGCTCTCCCCTCCAGTTTCCCTTTTCTCCACTCTGCATCGATGTGCTCTGTCACATGGATCAGCGCCCCCTTGTGAAAGGACAGATCCTCTTCAGTCTGACCGGGGAAGTCAAACAGAGCCACGACCCACTCCTCTGCCTGCTCAAAAAATAGAAAAAATAAAAAGATAAATAAATCAAGGGATATCAACTATGTATATATCTATGTGTGACACACACCCACACACACACACACTAACCTCTGAGTCTGAACCCTGTGGCGTTTTGAGTACTGCTGAGAAAAACATGAAAAAAAAATAGATTGTTAGACTTACATCCTCAGATGAGAACTCTAAGAACGCTTTTAAATGCACACACTGAGGAACGACAACAGAAAGATGTTTTTAAAAAATGAAGACACTTAACATCAGAAAATGTCTGCCCACCCGAACTTTCTGTCCCCGCCGTTTCTTTGGATATCTGTTTAGACATTTCCTCCTGTGCCGCCTCTGGCTGTGGGAGGGGTTCCACCACCTCTGTGAAGTTCAAGGGGAACACACCGAGTCGCCCGTGGATCCGGCCCCGCCCCCACTCCTCCCCAATGAGCTCCAGAAGGACAATGACGTCGCCCTGGGAGAAAGTCAACTCGTCCTCCTCCTCTCCCTCGTAGTCAAACCTGGCAACACAGCGGGGGCCGCTGCGAGGGCAGACGACTGGTGAGGCAGGTGCACATCTCGGACAGAGTTGCTGTTAGAGGGTTTTTTTGTATTTTCTTGAGTCTGACCTGACAGGAGAAGGGTCTGGCTGCTCTTTCTGCTCAGCAGGCTGTTCAGGCAGAATAGACTTTAAAAAGAAGAGAAAACAAAAAATAAGTATCACATAACACTTTCATACCTTCAAAAAGTAATTTGAAGTCCAGAGTTAAAAGCACTGCCCACACGACTGATACTTCTCAAAACTGAGTTAGGCTAGTGCTGGAAGCCAATCTGTGGGTTTTACAAACATTCAAGAAAAAGTGATACCTTTTGTTATAAATCTAATCAGTTCATTTCAATTCAAATCTGGCTGCATAATTGGTAAATTAAACAATTTGAATCAGGAACTACAAGGTCAGAACTAATAAATTGATTTAATACTTTTCAGGACTGCATTAACTACATGAAACTCATTTCAGAAAATTTGCAATTTTTTAACCGGTGAGGCCCAGGAGCAACAGAAAAGGCTGAAGTCCTTAATTTTTTGGGAGACAGACGAAAATAAAATTCCCATTTTAACACTGATGACAGATCTTTTGAAAGTTGAAAATGGAGCCAAACCTGAGAGTCTGAGAGGGTAAGATCTTCTAAAGCAGATTTTGATTGACTGTCCTGATCTGGGACCGGCTCTGGTTGGGTGTCCAGGTCCAGGAGACACTGTGAAGTGTTTATGATAGGCGTGATCGTGCTTTGACTTTTAACTTCAACCATCTGATCCTCAGAGCGAGCAGGGCTTGGATCATCCAGGACAATCAGAACCTCCTGTTTCTGAGAAATTAAATTAGATTAAATTAAGACCAAATCTGTAGACTGTTATTTACAAGAGCCTGCTTGTGTTTCTATGTGCCTGTGGGTGGATGTGCTGTACCATGTAGCTGTTGTAAAGTGGGTGTCCGGGTTTGGGGCGCGGTGGCAGAGGCGGGCCTTTTTTGGCTACCCTTTGACTGGCTGTTACAGAGGAAGGAACAGAAGTGGTCACAGGTGACACAGAGGAAGTGGGAGGGGCTTTGGACGGAGGTGTGGTCTGGTTGGCAGAAGAGGTTAAGTTGACGGCAGGAGGTGGGGGCCTTGAGGGGATGGATTTGATTGGTGGGGGACGAACTGGCAGGAGCTTCACACTTGATGGGCTGCAAAAAAACAAAACAAAAAACAAAAAAACAAAAAAAAACAAAAAAGGGGTGGATCAGGTTTGAAAGTTGTTCCTGCAAGAAAAAGGTTAATGAACTGCTCCTGGTGTAGAGCTGTGCAGTAACACATTCCTTTTTAGTTCTCTGTGCAGGACAAGATATTCTCCAACATTCTGCCAACAGCTATCAGTCAGATTGAGTGCACTGATTGGCGATTGAGTTTAGTTGAAATCTTCGATTTCAGGAGAAGAAATATCAACATATAAACTTTTCTCATGTCCAAAGTAACATAAAGCCCATATCTCGTCTTCCTGTTAGTGCCAAGACAGCATAAAAAAACCAAAAAAACTTAAACTTGCATAGCAGAGAATTATATAAGGCCCCAAATAAAAGAGCAATTACATGCTGGGATGTTGGAAATCATCTGATAAACAATTTTGCCTGATATTAATCTGCATCTTCATCATCACTCTTTCTTTACCGAGGAGGGTCCGAGGAGTTTGGGTTTGTAGTGCTGGGCTCCTCAGATTTGGTCTGAACCACAGAGCTTCTCCTCGTGGCTGGGGCTGGAGCAGGAGTTGGAGGCTTAATCGGAGCCGGTACTGGGGGTTTGCTGGATGTAGATGGGCCGACAGATTTTAGTTTGCTGGCCACTGGATTTGGATCTGGAGACGTCTGTGAGATGGGCCTCTGGGCCAGATTTGGTGCTGAAACCAGATGACGATGATCAATCCACTTATTTAAAGGTGGACTGGCTATTAAAGCCATAACAACCACTTAATATGTAAAAAAAATCAAAAGAACAGGACAAAAATGCAACAGCCTAAAAAAAATGTCATCACTGAAGACTGAAGAGTCAAATAGGAAAGAATGATAATTGTGCTGCTGCTGAATTTGGGATTTTCTCTCTTTGTTATTCAACGTATTTGACAGGATGATGTCATATAAAAATGTAATTCCACTTTTGTTGTTTTATATCCTCCATAAAAATACCATCCTAAGAAAAACCACTTTCTTTTAAATCATAACAAGGAACTGACTGCATCTGCACTTATCTTGATGGTATAGACAGACGCACCGACCTACCTACACATCCTAGTCTCTGCCGAGGCGGTAGCACCCTCTACTGGCACTCACAGTGTGTTCTGACAAGGTGGTGCTGATTCTTAGTCATCCAGTTCAAGTAACCCTTCATGGATCTTGAGGATGTTTCAACTCTCAACTTCTTCAGTTATACTACTTGGGGGGGGGGGTATCAGCTTATATTGTTGTCTCATTATCGTATTATTATTGTCTTGAAAGGCAGTCGTTCTTAAATATATATATTTGGAAGAATATATAAATGACAGTAATTATTATGAATGTGAAATCAAAATGGAACTCTGGATCCAACTATTCACAAATCTCCAGCGCTCCTGAGTAAAACTAATCTTGTGACTCAAACAGCTGTGCCGAAAAAAAACAACACAAAAAGGGCTAAACTAGGTATTGGTTTACACAAGCCTGTATAACAGCCAATAAACAGGGTGAAGATAGAGGAACACTTATGAGCGCACAGCCAACAATGCACACAGATACACTCACATGCATAAACGCAACAACAGTAGAGGGCTTGTCTCCTTCCACACAATAACAGCATTTTTCTCAGACAAGGTTTGGATTGCATAACACAACCTTCTCTTGTGCTGTCCACGCTCACATGCAAACACACAGCAAATAAAATATGTCCACATGTTTGCATATTTCTGCCACGTAACAAATGAGCTACATTTGTGTCTCTAAGCTCTCAAACACACCATTGTGCTGCACTGCTGCTCATCCTGCTCAGTGTTCACACTCAAACACACAACAGCCTTACCACTGGCTCTGCGAGGTGACGTCAGTGCGGCTGGTTTGGTTTGCACGTTGGGACGGATGCTTCCTCCCTTCACTGGAAGTACAGAAATGTTGTCATCTTTTTTAAGTCACAAGAAATTATTAAATTAGTGGTATTGGAAGATGGTTCTGCCCGTCTTAAAATACCTCTCAGGTCTTTTGTCTTAAACAGTTTCAAATGATTTTTTACCCTTCGTGTGACATGCCCCAGTTGTTTTAGACAAAAGGCTGATTTACTCAAATTTGTATTACCAAAAGTTTTCATGAAGATAAAGATAACAAAGATAAAACATAAAACAGCTCCCAGGGGTGTAAAACAGTGGCAGCTTTAAATCAAGATTTCCCTTGACTTGTTTCTATGGCTTGGAGAGGGACTGAGAGGGCAAAGAGTCTGCAGATCTGCCTCTTTTTAAGAAATGAATCCATGTGTGTACCAATAGAAAAACCAGCAGGGTGAAACCAGCTCAGACCTCTGACTCGACACTGAATATTGTTTGAAAGCAGACATAAAGACATTATGACATGCTTCTCAAAATTAGTTGAAAAGAAAGAAACTATTTATTTATCAGCCTCAACCCAGAACTTAAACATCTGTTAACACTCTAAATTTGAATAAAAATGACAAAAGCTATGCTGCCAAAATAAACAAGAAGGATCAGAATGCTGTGCAGAGTATCAGCAGGGTAGAGACATACAAGCGAGTCATAATAACCAAAAATGATTTCACAGCTGCACGAGTCAGTGTAGAAATTCATCATCATTGCCTTCAATAATTTATTCCTACGGGTGCTTTAATAGTGTGCAAACCTCTGTCACCACTTTAAAGTTAAAAAAATGTGTAAATCAGTTGAAACTGAGAGCTTATCAGCAGATGTTACACACTAAGGTTATGTATTAGATAAGCTGTGTAAACAGCAAGCAGCGCACTGTCCTCGTGTAAACATGATTCTGACCTTCTGCAAACACGTGGCAGCAGATCGGCCGAATGAGATACTTTTTCTTTTAAACACCAGCATTTCAGAGTTCAGTTCACAATCCCCACTGAGATAAGGTGAAAGCAAACAAAAGCGCAGTGCTGAGGCACTATGGCTTCAATGCCACCAGATAGGAACAGCTGCGTGGTTAGTTAATGTGGAACAGATCCCCCTGAACCCAGTTCTGCTCTGTTCATTAAAACTAGGCTACGGATGATATACTGATGTCATTTATATGATGCTAAGTAACCCAATGAGCATAATTGTGAGCAGAATCCCACTTACCAGCTTCAGTTGAAATGTTCTCGGGGGTTTCACCTTTAGCCAGAACTTCAGTTTGTGCCCCACTTCTAAAGTCTACTGTGCTCTTGTCCTGCTGTGAGGCTACATTGGCTCTGGGAGCGACTGGAGGTCTGGGTGGTGGCCTGGGGTTTGGCGGGGAAGGATTGCTGCTGAGTGAGGACACTTTGGGTGGGGGAGGCCTTGGGGCTGGGACGGGAACACTACATGACGCTGCCTCTGTTACAGACTGTGGCTTTGGGGTTAGGCTGGGTTTTTCAGTGGTTTTGGCAGGCTGAGGTTCTAAAACTTGAGCAGATTTTGTGATACCAGAGCCTGATGGTTCTGAGGACTGGTTAGGTGTTGGGTCCAATTCTGCCACTGACGTTTCACTTGTTTCAGCACTAATTGGCTCTGTTGGTGCTGCTGATGAACTTTGATCCTCCCAAAATACCTTGCTGGATGGTTTGGGACTGGCTAAAAGGTTTTTGGGTTTTGGAGCAATGACGGGAGGGACAGACTTGACTCCACTGAGGCGGGGGCGCGGGCGGGGCTCAGGTCTCTTTGAAACAGTCTGCTCAGCAGTCCCACTTTGTCTGCTACCACAGCTCTCCTCCTCCGCCTGCTGTTGCTGCTCAAAAGCCTGTATCCTCGCTTTAAGAGTTCCCATGTCCTCCCCGTCTGCGTCCTCCTCTTCTTCTTCGCTCCCTGATTGGCTAAGCTCACTGCTGTCACTGCGGTGGTCAGGGAAGCCCCAGTCGTCTGAGCTGAAGGCCTGCAGCAGCTCCTGTAGGTACTTCCCTTGACTCCCTTCTTGGTTGGTACTGTCACTCTTTGCGCGGCGGGCTAATGTGGCCACACCGTCCTCCCGCAGTTTCACCAAGGTCTGAACTTTCACCTCGTTTCTGACAGGATGGATACCGACCTTAGAACGAGGACGTGGGGTGGGACGCTCTAATATGACGTGCAAGGAGGTGCTGGGAAGTGCAGCATCAGCAGCAGCTGGACTCTGGTCACACTCGTCGGTTTGATCTCTGGAGCCTGAGGTCAAAGGTGAACACAGCTCAGGGAAGAGGTTGCAACATTGCGTGTTGGTGGAGTTGTGCGTGACCCTCTCAGGGTGTGTGGCAGTGAGAAGGGGGGTAAGCCCTGATTGGCAGGCAGCGGTAGCGATGTCATCAACACAAGAAGGTTTAAGAGGGTTCGGTAGAGGTGGCCGTGCTGGTCTCACTGGTCTTCTGACTGCAATCACACACGCTCACAGTTTAATTCCCAAACACGCACAAAGCAAAATCCTCGTCTATCAGCTTCCTCCCACCTTGTGGCTCGTGGGGATCAGGGTCCAGTCCAGGGTCCGTCTGCGTGGCGATGGTTATTGTAGAGGCTGGACGTGAGGCGGCTGAACGGGAAGAAGAGGAAGAGGGGAGGAGAACCTGCTCTTGTGTTTTCTCTCTGATGACCTCCTCGTAGGAAGGAGGCGGCTGACGGAGAGAAAAAGAGAAATTATATTCAAGGAATTATGGGAATTTTTGCAACTCCCGCCTTTACCTTCCTACTTTCACATTATGGTTAAAACAGCATAGATGAGGCAATGATAACTACTTTGAGTAAGTGTTACACACAATTTATCAAATACTATCTTAACTTTATCGATTGGGAAGGTTTTTATTTGTAATTACAGCTGTTAATTTGAGGCAATAAGTTACCAATCAGCAAATATTCAAAAATGCACATGGCATTAACATCCAGAATACGTTTTGTGTACAAAAATCAGCAGTAGTTTCTGCAACCTTCTGGTAAAGAAGCCTCAGCTAATTGTAACACCTGTGGCATAGGCAGGCAGGGGTGACCATAATTAATTTAAATCAGGTGGTTAAAGGTTCACTTCCGGGCAGAAAAACGATAACATCTAGCCAGAAATAGCTCACCTGTATGCATGGAGGGATTGTGGGTCCCCAGATCTGTGCAGCAGGAGGTGGAGGAGGTGGGAATCCTCCAGCGGTTCCAGGAAACCAGGATGTGGAGGCCAGCGGCTCTGCCGACAGGATGGTGATTTCTGGGCGCCTAGCACAAGCCGGAGGTCACCAGGTAAAAAACCAAGGCACGACTGCTTAAATTTTCCAATGGATCATTTAGCCTGACTAAGGCACCGAGAGATTTCGATTTTTATCCTACAAAGTAACAAAATAAAAATAAATTGTACATCTAAGAAGAATTTAGCCTGAAAACTAAAGTGTAGCATATGATGAAGAGAAGCACAGACATAGTATCAGTGAGTTCACAGTAACTATGTGGAGCTATCTCTGAACAAGCTCAGCTATTTTGAGACCGAGAAGCACATATTCCTGATAGCAGGTTTGCTACACAAAAGGTAATTTACAAAAAAGTATTTTTTTTAAATAAAAAAATAAAAAACAAAACATCAGACTTTCTTTTCATTGCCTTGAAAAATGGAAAGTCTGCCAACAACAAACTCCTCAGAGTTCAAACTGCGCAGACTGATGCAGTCTGCCTCCACCACACACAACCGATGTGTTTATATGTACTTAAATACGATCAGCTGACGGCTGTTTTACCTCCGCTCTCTGTCTCTGTCCCGCTCTCTATCTCTTTCTCGTGGTGTTTCTGAGAGAGAAGTTGACCTTGTGGAGGCTGTATATAAAGAGATGAAAAACAAGTCAAAGTGAAATACATGTAACACATGAAGACTGCAAACCTGAATAGTTTGATGTAAACTCTAAGGGTCATTGGACAAACTTTAAGGTGTTATAATATTAAACTGTGTTCCTATTGATATAGCAGCATTAGGTGAATCTAAAGACACAAAACAAAAACAGGACTAAAATGGTTCAGCTGAAAAGTGTGCTGATTGTCCAGTCTCTTACCATGCTGGATTTTTATGACCACAGAAAAAGTCAAAACGCATATTTTCCATTTCTATTTCAACGCTCATCTAGGCTACATTTCAAACCGACTTGACTTGTTTTGATGTTGTCAACATATTGAGGTTAAATGAACATATTGGTAGATACCCACTTCTCTTGATGGCTGCTCTGATGGATGACAGAGGACCCTGACTGAAAAGAGAGGAGAAAGGAAACCATGAGTCACATTGTTTCACCTCAGCTGCTGCCATCGCCGCCCTCTTTCCCCTGTAAACTCCCAGTAACAAATACTGCTGCCATTCAATCCAAAGTTAAGGACTGAACCAATTATCTTATTTTCTGCAAACAAATCCCACCAAATGAATGAGTCATAAAAAAAATCTACACATTCACAGAGTTTATTGGATAACACATCTGAAGTGTTACAGTTATTTTGCAAACTGAGGACAACGTGGCTGACCAAAAATAGTTAAAGTCACATGAGTTCAAGTGGCTACATGTCTTTCCAGGCTGCCAAAAAACAGAGTCCAGCTAAACCAGTGAGTGATTTTTATATGGATACAGTGTCCCCTTCCTTTGCTAATTGTAAAAATATAGCTGGCCAAATTTGATCAAGTCCGTACCCAGATGCCTTTTCACCGATACACAAACAGAACTTTGAACGGCTGCTTCCCAACAGGCTCACGTCTGAGGCCGTTTGAAGATCTTCGATCAAACTTTAATCACTGAGTCCAAAGTCAAATTTACACCTGCTGCTTCCCTCATTAATCATCAGGAAGAGAGAATTTTCACCGAAATTCCCAGAAATAGAACTGGGAAAACTCTCCATTATTTCATAACTGGGAGAGTTATCGAAGTGGCAGATTTCCCATCAGGAACCCAATCCGTCAGCATGGTCGCAGTTGCCCTTATGTAGGATCTAGGAATTGTCAAAAATGATTTAAAGATATTTCATAGTGTCAGGATCAGAGGAAAGCCAAAGCTCTTCCTACTTCAATGTAAGATAGATGTCGGTAGGCAGGTTAAGAACCAACAGAGCCAGACTCACCCAGTGGACAGCAGGACCACAGATGTCCCAGTATCTCTTTGTCTCTCTCTGTTCTTATTATTGCCTTTCAGAGTTTGTTTCCAACTCACTGGAGCTACTTGCTCCCTCCATTTATGTGGCAGAATTACTAACTATAAAACAGACACAAATGACTCACCCCTGACACAGCACAAAGTCATCCTTTTCATTTTAACACCAGTGAAACCTAAACAAACAGTCTCATTTATGTTTGCTTTTGTAAAATGTAAAAAAACTAAACAAAAAACAAAACCCAACCCAACAGCCCTTTTAGGCCTCAGTAGAAGTACAGATTCTTTGTAGTTGAATAAAAACCTGAGTTGGAATGAATGCTGTCCTTCTTTGCTGCTGGACTTTTTTCTGTGTTTGGCATTAGAGTTTAAGATTTTCCTTTTGCTGCATTACATCATTTAAGGCAAGACTTATATATATTAGAAATATAATTGCAACAGAATTGCAACAGAATGCGAAAAAAATAGTTCTTGCAAGTTTTTTTTCAACCAGATGTTTGTAACAGTTAAGAAAATCAACATTCAACAATCACAAAAACTGTTGCCATTTCCTTGGAAAAATCTGCATGTGTTGCCTCTGCAAAGCAACAATAAACTTGAATCACAGCAGAAGCTTTGAAAAACAGAGGAAATAGTACCAAAAAGAGTAGTTGTGTTACCTCTGTCTGCATAGTAATGTATCTACACATTGTTCAATAGAAACTTAATTAATGGACCTTTTACTATTACATACTAACACCTAAGTGCTATTATGTATTTTAACAGTTTTGTTTGTTCACGTTGGACACATCTGCAACTCAAGGCAGAAAATGAACTGAAAAGTTTATTTATTCAAATCAAAATCTTCCTCTGTACTTTGGCCATTTTAATCAAGTTATATATTGTCATAAATCGGGCATAATAGGGACCATATTTTAGCTAATTTTTCCACTTTACCGTATGGCAAAACTGTTAAATCTCAGAACCTCAAAGCTCACACAGACAGGTACACTTATCATGAACTGAGTCCTCATTTAAGTGCTGAGTCAACATTGAGTCATCCTGGACGCCTGACTTTAGGTTAGATGTTGGCGTGCAAGAGCACTGAAAGCTGTCTTTGTTTTACTGAACAGCTTCAAACATCTTGAAGGTCAGGAGCTGAAAACAATCACTGTGGTTAGGTCAAAACCTCCAAGCTTCAAAAGAGCACATCCAAATGAATAAAACCTCAAGTGACAGAAGGATGGCTAAAAATGTTCCCCTAAATTGTTCCCAATCCGATTGGATTCTAATGTTCCCATCTTTTCAAGTGAAATAGACCTAAGGAGAAAAGGCTGTTTCCCCTCTATAAAACGCACACACACTGACAACAAACCCAGTGACTTCAGCAGTTAGTTACTATGCCAACCGACCAACAGACAACATACTTTCAGGAGTGTGTAAGAACCAGAGACCAAAGCAGTCTCTGCAAGTCTGAGAGGAAAAAGAAGAAAAATCCCCCTGAGATGGACTTTTAAAAGGCAGACAACAGGACTCCCTTAAGCAGACGTAACACTAACAAACTAACAACCCCCAAACTAATAAACCCTAAACCAATCTGATTTCAAGGGAGGCTGAGACCAGAGAGATTGGGCCTTTGAACATGAACACGTGTCTTTTGGCCAACGTGTTGGGCTACATGTGGGAAGGATTAGACACACATGTACCGGTAGCATCAGTCATCTTTCGCACTGATCTATGAAAACCAAAGATGAGCCACATCTACCTGTGACGATGCTCGGGCTTACGTCTGTCAGGGCGACCTGGGAAGAGACAGAAAGGTGGATGGTAATTAAAAACCCTGGAAACTTTTTCAGATTTTCACTGAAGCACGTATAGCTCTTATTTCAGTCTGTGCCAGGGCAGCGACTATAAAAAACAGAAAGCAGGGATGGCTTTTGGCTGCCCTGAATTTGTTTTTTACCCTGTAAAGCACTTTGGGCCACATCGGATCACTGTGCTATATAAAAGGTGCTATATAACTAATGTCAATGTTTACAGACATTGGAGCTATTGGAAAAAAAATTTCCCCCACAAAAAAAACAAACAAAGAACTGGCATTGGAGACATCTATCTGGGTTTTAAATGTCCACATATATGGGAATTCTGCTTGACCTGAGCATATTAAGGTTGAGAAAAGTGGCTAAGTGAGAGTGAGATGAATCTAACTTAAGACGCAGAAGAATTCTTGACAAATCAAAGTATCAAACACAATGATTAGGTTATCATATTGTGGAAAAATATTAAATACAACTCAGCTTTGTGCAACAATATAGCATTATCATGAACAGTACCATAACCAGGAAGTAGCTTTCATTAGTTGAAATTAAAAGTGTTTGAACCAGAAGTTCAAACAAAGAGATGAGCGTCGCATGCAGACAATCCTTCAAAACCACCAAAGGAAAAGGGGGTGACAAGCCATGCTAGTTCTTAACCAGATGACCTACAAAAAAAAAAAAAGCATTATGCAAGAAAATTGAAATAAATTTAGCTAAAAACTAACGAGAGCGGAACAAAACAGTATGCTATAGCATCAAATAAAGTGGAAAAGAGAAAGTGTTGACTTGGACTTCTCCCTTGAAAAGCAACATTTTTCCATTTCCTACCTCCTTTCCTGTCCTTTCTTCAAACTCCAAAATGATAACCGGGACAGTCTGTCTCACTTTGGAATCCAGAGGACTAAATTTTGATGTGTCTGAAAAACAATGTGCCAGCACTTCTTTCCATAATTGTATTCCCTTTCCTTCCTAACCCCAAACTTGAGAATTAATCTCTTTACTGTTCTGTTCTCTTCTTTTTTTCCTCTACCTTCTCTGTCTGTGAAAGTAACAGGACCGCCCATCCGATCTAGCTCGCCACCTAATTGGCAGAGAGCTTCCAGGAAGTAAAACCGTGATTGGCTGCTGTGGGATTCTGTTGGAGTCATCAGAGTTTGAACACTTCCAGATGTTTGCCTCAGCTTTGTGCTGAAGCTGCGTTTAAATATGCAGAAACGCACCAAAGTTAAAGAAGCTCAAAGGTTCGTCATCTCATCGATGGTTGTTTGGCTAAAGGAGGTCAGAGGGCTTCATCTGGACAGGGGAAATTAAAGGGGCCTAATTATTTATCCGATGACCCTTAAAACAAGACAATGTGAAAACTATGCAGAGAGAAGCCTGACGTACATTGTAGCAGGTGCACACAGACAGGCAGCTGATAGGCTGCTCAAGTCAGAACTATTCCAATAGTAATTGTTATCATCTGATATTTAAAGCAGCAATAATCTCACTGAATGCATTTACATCTACGGTCTTTGTTTTCTCTGGTTGAGCAAACTGCTGGTTTGAGACAGAATGACATGAGTGAGGAAACGCTGGCAAAACCTATAGTCAACACCAGTAAAAGTTATTCGGTGGAGAAGGCTTGTTTCTCAAGGCAGCAAAGACAATTTTTCCATTTAAAAGTGATCACATTTTTCATTTGGCCTTTTGTGGCATCACATTGTTTGTATTGTGACAAAGTCTGTTTTCAATCAAAACTATAGTGTTTGATTGTGCCTCTGTCCCAATAACTGATATTACAAAATGGAGCTGCAGTACGTCTTGAAATGGTGGTTTGATGGTTATAATTAAGCTAGATGCCTGAGAAATTATTGACATACTCATTTGATTCCAGGGAGCCACAGAGCACAGATGCTGCATACAAAAACTCAAAACAAGTTATGTTTACTCTTCAGTTTGAGTCTGTCACCGTGCTGTTGATCAATGATTCTTCCTTAGCGCTACAAAATACAATGACTTCTTTTTAACTATAAAACATTACAGTGACACATGTGAACACAATCTGAAACAACTTTCTTGAGATCCGAGAGACCTCAGTTCAACATAGCTGCATATTTGAGTTTTATTGCACAACAGCCGCAGCCTTGGACTGAGCAACACACGTTTGCAGATGTGTTTTGTTTAACTGTGCTCACTCGTCTTAGTGAGCTAAATAAACCATTAGGTGACAAATCTATGAGGAAATTATACTATAGGTATGGAAAATGATTTCTTTTTGTGTCATTACAAAACAAATAAATGAACAGTGCTGTAAATAAGGATGCTTAAAGTGGGTAAAATGAGACAGCATATTACCTGTCAAGGCTAATTTGAACAGAAATACTTATAAAGCAGCATGACGCTGATGTAAAATGCCATTTTCATCTGTGAGCTCTGCAGTGACTCCCACTGGCGCTGCCTATCTCCTTAACAAAGGCAGAACACCACCCTGCAGTATTTCTCAACAGTGATGGATGATGTCCTGACACCGAGACTAGCAAATTAAAAGCTCACAGACCAAACTCCAGATGTGGCCCGTTTCAGACTACAGCTAATTCTGACCCTGAGTAAACACTAATGTTTCTGAGGCTCCAATAACTTCAGTGTGAAATATCTCTCCTCTGTTGATGGCATCAGTCCAGCTCGAGGTGTTACATTAAACTTTACATACATGTACCCGTCTAATATGGCAATGGTCCTAACAGTTGAATTTCATGACATTACCTTTGGCTTAATACTTTGAATACTCACAAAAGCAAAAGGTGTTCAGTGCTATCCCCAATATGAAGGATGACACATGGACAACCCTGTTTTGCTCTTTCTACACAGCACCTCGCAGACAGATCACCGTTCATTCAAGGGCAAACTGCCTGTTTTTTCCTCTTACTTCCTCATTCAAACTTCTGGAAAATAGCACTACTCTCTGCCAGATGTTTAATATTAATCATCAAGTAAAGCAAAACCAAAATAAAAGATGACTCCTTGTCAAATTATCTCTTAGTGATAGTAGTACTCACCCTTTATACATACGTATAGTCTTTGAGGTGGAGCAAAACTAAACTGAAGTTTGATCCAAGCTTAATCTTCTCCAAACAAAATGAGCTATCAAGCCAAACAATGAAGGCATTGTGACTTAGGTAGCCCCAGAGTTGGTTGGGGAGCCAGTGTCTTTTCAAAAACCCCTTCCCTGGACTGTGACAGCTGAAGCACCTGCTCTCCTCTGGGAAACTATTGCTAGAGTAGTAAAAACAGCATCCTTCACTGAATTCTGGCCAGCACTGCAGCCTGGTTTTACCTGCAGAGCAATCTGAGGCTCACCCAGTTTTTATCCTGAGGGCAATTTACCATCAAATCTCTCTGAACTTGTTGTTGTTCTGGCTCTACGTCTTGAATTTGCATTTACTTTTAAAGCTCAAATACATTTTAATTGATTTTTCATCTACGAACCATTTAAAAATATTTTCTATAATACTTCCCTAATGTTTCCCCATTTGATTTCCTATGTTTTGTTCAGTTGACAGAGCCAAAACTTCTAAATGAATAACTAAAATCACACGCAAACATGTAATGTCTACATATCTGGGATTGTAGGCATCTAAAAAGGCCAATGGGTTTTGGACAAAAATATGAGTGATTTTGGAGTTAAGATAACTGAATAGCAACACAAAACAGAATATTCCTTCATCAGCTTTCTATGGCCGCAGAAACATCCAAAAGAACAACCTTTCAATGTTTATGCTGAGATCATTTCAGAAAAATGAGCCATATTGTTGCTAGAATTGGGGGTTATCAGCTATATAATCTCTTAAAAAGGTGTTCAGATGTTGTAATTTTCCTACAGATACACCCGGTCTAGCCACAGGGCAGAGCTGAAAGCATAATCTTAAGGGTTGTCTCATAATGACATGTTTGTTTTACTCATGCAGCTATAAAGACTATGGAGACTGAAGATAAGTTAAAAGTATCACTTCCATTTCCCTGAATGAGACAAAAACATGGACACAAAGAGGAAGACTTGTCCTTTAAACTAATGGCTGTGAGTCTTGGCACATGCCTGCACCATTACATGAATGCCTCTGGGGTTGGGTGCACGCATGCGTATGCAAACTTTGACCCAAAAAGTACTGTGCTTGCATGCAGATTAAAAAATTTATGACCTTGAGTTTAAACAGTCTAAACCAATCCCCTCTCCCTACTGCTCACTTATCAATTACATTTTCTTGATGTGCAAAACGTAAGACTTTTATCATGTATATTTACATGTTAGTGGTGTTTCATAGATCTAGTATTCCCTTGATTATTAGGTAACCAAATATCTAACTTAAAAAAGGACAATGTTAAAAGACACACCAAGTTTGCGTTTAAAGAGAGAAATGAAGGCACGACTAAAATCAACCAACCATTTCATCTCATAACATGACAGAAATTTCACCAAACCTAAGGCAGTGTTTTTAGAAGTGAAACAAAAGTTTTAAAATGAGTGAAATTCCTGTCACAGAAGACTCTGAATGGTGCACTTTTTTTTTTTAGAGACTTCTCGTGTATGGTACTAAGGCAGAAAGCCATTGATGACTGAGCCCAAGCTAAACAGACGAGACACTTTGTCAGAAATGTGAGATATTTTACAGGAACCCTCCAAATACCACAAACAACGTACATATTGAAGATTATTCCGGGGCTAAAGGGGAAAAAAGTAAGTATGTCTAAATACACTGCGGCATTTTCTGGAGTTACAGCCTGCTATCTTTTAGCTCTTGTTTCACTTTTAGACTTATATTTCCAGTTTGCATGCGTCAGCTACTTTTTCCTCACAGAGCTGAAAGTATTGACCGGACAGCAGGTGCAGGCACTTAAAGCAAAATGAGCATTTTTATCTCTTTTTTGCTCTTTTACCTCCGGAGCTGTTGGGCTGTCGTCGGACCACTTGCTCCCGAGTATCTCTCCTCATATTTTCTTCCTCCTCTTCAGACCGTGCCTCGGCCATTTCACCCCTTTTGTGTCTTTTTTGACGTCTCTCGGTGCTCCCCCCCTCTCTTATCTTCTCCTGTGTGCCGGTGGAAAGCCGAGCTGGGTCAGAACAGAGACAGCGGTAACATTACCCCCCTTCCTCCTCCGAACTCTCCCCCCCGTCGTCGCTGACATCCACAACAACAACACACAGGGCGCAAGTTCACCCAAACAACGTTGTGCCGTTGAGGCCCAAATGACTTACGGGGGGTTTTCGGTCAACTCTTTGCGTTTTGTGCTCAAAACTTGTCGAGCGGCCGAGAAGCCGCGGGCTGCCTCCGGACTTTGTCTCCGGCTTCCCTGTTTTCCACCCAGGCGCGAGCCGCAGACTCACTCCGGCTCTGTGACGTCACCGGCTGAAAATAAAGGAGACTAGCGAGAAAAAAAAAACTCCGTCGATTCAACTTTTGGCTTATCTGCAGTTAACGGCGACAGGAGGCCTGGAAACGGCGGATGAAGTGCAATATTTGATGAATTCTAAAAAAAAAAAAAAATACTATGGGGATGCCCAGCGAACTACACAACCTAACTAATTTCAATGTGAAAACAAAAACAACAACAAAAGAAAGCAAGCAGAAAACTTTCTCAAGAGACACCAAACACCCAGGAGCAAAACAATTCAAGACTGTCAAGTTAACCAGACAATTTCAATGAGATTACCCAAGTGCACCACGGAAAGTCAACCGACCACTTTTAAACACGTAGCAAACATGAACGTACATGACACAACAGGCTCAGAATGATGTCAAAAGTTTCGATGAAGTGTAGACAACCACAAATGAGCAAAGACGGTTTTACCTTCAAACAACATGTTGATGGCACAGAATTCATGGCACACAGAGCTGTGCTGTCAGCAGGGTTAGAAATGCAAATATCCAACCTGATTTAATGTTAAAAGATGCAAAATACAACGTTGGGGAGTTCCCCTTGATACATTTGTTTGTTTGGAAGATACTTCCTTTTTAGATGGTTAAAAAAATGTAGGTATACGACGCAGAAAAAACTAAATCCTCACATGACTAAGAGGACGGAGAGACTCAGAATGACAGGAATTAATTTAATAGGAATGTAAACAGGTACTAACAAATGTAGACCAACAACCAGTTCTCAAAACGAATCATAAGATTTTTCATCTGTGTTTAGATTACAGACTCCAAAGGATTATTTATCCATTGTCTGTATTTTCTAAAAAAGAACTTTGCCAAAGTCAAGTACTGTAGCTTTATTATTTTACCACTAGAGGGAGCAATTGATCAGCATTGAGGAGAACTCACATAAGTCTGGTTTTGCAAATCAAGTCTAATTTGCACATCTAAACATGACCCTTTTTGGTAATTTCTTTGATTACAATAAAAAGGTTTATGTTATCTCAGCCCAACATATCCTGAAAATGTATTTCTGCTGTCATTTGGGTAGATATACCATGATCATAAAGGGTATTACTATTCATGTTGACCTCGAATATGAATACTTTGATGACAACAGGGGGAAAAAAAGGATAATTAGATTATTTTACCAAAAATAAGGTCATTCTGTAAGTCAGATGAAAAGGATGGGTTTGGCTGGGATCCAGATGACCTGTGTTCATTGTTCTGACAGCGGATTGACACCTGCTGTCCTGAACCACCAGCCGTTAGTCTGCAGAAAATCAGAGATTAATGGAGATCTGTGTATGTGAACAACATATGACCTTCTCAATGTTAAATGTGTACCGTTTTGCATATGACAAGGTTAGAACATTTTCATATGGAGCTTTTTCATTCTCTTGTACTGGTCTACGTTTAGATTATTCATATGTCTAATTGGACACAACAATGAGGGCCTTTCTTTAGGCAATGGGTGACTCTTATGGCATTTTCTTTAATTGAAAATTATTACTGTCATACTTATGTTAAGGTTTATTAATTGAAATTTGCTTTTTAAACAACGTCAACCTAATTTGTAGAAAACGTTGAGACTTTTTCAGATGGGAATCTGCATAAGTAGAGAAAAAAAAGTTTAAAAAAACGCCTAAAAACACGCGACTCAGTGATGATCTGCGTTCCATGAGGGAGGGGCCACGAGTGGGCGGGGCCACAAGTGGGCGGAGCCAGGACGCCACCTCTCAGGACCGGCTGGGTGATTGACAGCTGAGCCGCTTAGAGCCTCAGGAGCGACATAGCACACACCGACATAACACAACACCACACAGCTCCGCTCGGAAACTGGAAAACCCTGGGGATTTCTACTGGTTTCAGGACTGTCAAAGAGTTTCGTACGAGTTTGTTTTGAATTCTGGTCCAAGGAGCTTCAGTTTGAGTCACCGAGGTAAGAAACGTTTTCCAACTCTTGACAGGTACAGGTATTAGGACCATTAAATTCTGTATTTTGGTCATAAACGCATCCCTACAGCACGTTGTAATCTGGGCCAGAATTAACTGGAGGTTTCATTCCTATAGAAAGACTATAAAACAGGATATGAATTCCGCTTGATTAAAAAAAAAGAAGAGAAGAATCGCTCAGATTAGAGGAATGAAGAGATGAAAGTTGGATGAGTGGACCTAAGCTTTTAGTATTGGAAATAAGATGATGGACTCATGAATTAATAATAAAATCGATTATATAGATTGGCATAATATGATTAAATTTTTTTAATAAAACAGAGTAAAAATATATAAAATTTGTTGAGAAAGATAAACTAATTGAAGTACTGCACAACCAAGAAAAAAAGATCAGAATATTTTTTGTTTAGTTTTCAAGTTTTTTGCCTTTTCAAGGTTTCTGGATACCACTTTGAAACATTCTGTAGAGTATTTCTGGTACACCTGGAGTCCATGATGTAAGCGTGTATTAAGGAGGTGGTCACACTCATGTTTCAGAGACTCCCTGATGTGGACACACAGACACATACACAGCGTTGTATTCAAGTGTGTTTGGAACAAACGTATCACAGGGATTCTGCTGAATATTAGAAAAAAAAGACTTATGTAGTCCTGTTTAAGAGGAGTCAGATCACAGATGTACACTTAAACATTCACTCTGTCCACTAAGTTACAGACGTCCTACAAATTTCAAATTCATTTAGAGCTTTAATGTAGTTTGACAGGTGTTTATTGGTGATCTCATGCATAGCGGAGGAGAAAGAACTTGGCACATTTTGACCTCTATTAGAGATGTTGACTCATATTAGCGACAAGCTTGCCATGAAGGGCAATCACTCTTGCAACTTCCCCATTTATTTGAAAGCAAATGTGACTAAATCCATAAGATATGAATATTTATTAAACTGTTGTTTTTTGGTTGCCCCAAAAAAATCTACATTTGAACGGATAACATGAAAGTGTTCCACTATAGTGAGACACTTCATACAATAAACATTCATTGATTGAGGGTTGTGTCATTACTTAAAATGTCTTTTGACAAGGAAAGTTATGGAATTATCTTCAGACCCAAGTGGATTTTCTCACCATCCCGAGAGAAAATGCATTGCTTTGTAGGAATAACAAATAGATCTATGCCACTTTCACAAAGTCTATTTAACATAAACCTAGTTTGAGAAAGTCACCAGTTCCCCTGAAGGCCAGCCGCTGACAACTTGTGTCCACAGACGTCACCGTCTACACTCAGGAGCTGAGATTTACTAAACTCGAGGAAGCAAATCATCTGTTGATGTTGAGAAACCTAAGATGGTCCTGCAATAATAAGAAATTAATATATGTCACAATGTCTGCTTAAAGCAAAAGGTGATTTTCTTTTAGAAAAAAACTGAAATGGACAGAATAATCAACATTCGATGTGGAGGGACCGGCATAAAAATGAATAATTGGGCAACAGGGCTGTGCTTGGCTTCTGTAGAAAGGGATTGCTGGCTGGAATAATGTGACCGTATCCAAATTCTTTGGTATGCAGAAAAATTCAAACAACCGGATAAAACCTATTAAAATCTGAACAAATGAGCCCACAAATATATCCTCTCAGAGCCCCTTGTCCAGATTGCACCAGGGTACAGAATCAACTGGATAAAGCAGTTGCGGACAATGGATTGATTAATTAAAACTGGAGCTTTGTGGGCCCTTTACTGAGGGTGGTCACACATACTGCCCAATTTATAATCTAACATTTGTAAGTGAGGAGTTTTAAAGATTGTAAACGATAACTGGACATGAAAAGAACAAAATGCAGCAGTAAGCAACTTTGCTATAAATTGAGAAGTAACATTATCAATGAAACTGCCAGCTGAAAGGAAACTAAAAGTCATTGTGTACACTTATTTTGTATTCCTTATTTGAAAAATCCGGTTGAAAGAAACAGCTGTGCAACACTCGACACCCATGTAAATTCAGTGTTTGGCTCACTCTCTGGTTTGACAGAACATCCTTGAAGTGTGCTTAAAAAAAACACTAAAGTGTGTCATGTTCATAATGAAATTCCAATCAACTAAATGTCTGAAAACAGGAATGCAATCCAGCAATTCAGGTCATGAAAGACTTCAGGTCAGTCTGTGTGTGTGTGTTTAATCCCTGGTTTATGTGATGGCATGAGGCTGTCAGATTGCGCACACACACACGCGGGCACACACACACACACACACACACACACACACACACACACACACACAC